CGCTATGCGAATGGCCGATTGATTGTCGCAGAAGAGAGAGAAATTGGGTAACTGGGCCAATTTTGCTTCCTCCAGTAGTTCGCGAAGATATAGCCCTTCCTTGGTTGCTGAGCAGAGTGCGATATATTCTACTTCTGCTGACGAGAGAGCGATTAGCTCTTGCTTGTTCGACTGCCATGAGATAGGCCCGATAGGTTCAAGTCTGTAGACGTAGCCGGTTCGAGACCGTCTGTTGTCTGAATCTCCAGCGTGATCGGCGTCGACGTAACCGATTAGCTTAGGTGTTGCGGTGCTAGTTTTGTGGTAGGTGAGTCCGATCGTCGGGGTGCTAACGAGGTAGTAAAGTGCTCGGTCGAGTTCGAGCATGTGATCTGCTTCAGGCTTCTTGAGGTAGGTAGCCAGTTGGCTGGCTGAGTAGGATAGGTCCGGTCGGCAGGTGACGGCTGCGAAGAGTAGGCAGCCTAGCTTTCTTTGGTAGTCGCGGACGCCAGCAGGTTTGAGTAAGGCGGAGGTTTTCCGATTTCCGTCGATGTAGCGGTATGGCGTGGAGATAGTGGTTGGAGTGATGGCGAAGCGTTTGGCAATGGTATCCGTATATTTAGCGGCGCTGAGGTAGATAGCGTTGTCGCAGTCTTCGATGTTTAATCCTAGGTACTGCGTCACGGTGGTTGCGACGGTGAGAGTTAGATCTTCCTGTAGCTCCCCTTCAAACCATGTCGTTACAGCGTCGGTGGAGCCTATGTAGAGAAGATCATCGACGTAGACGATGAGTTGGATGTAGTCGGTGCCTTTCGTCAGTCGGTACATTCCTTGGTCGTGGGGTAGCTGAAGAAATCCGATGCGAATTAGGCGGGCGTGAAGATGCTGCTGCCACAGTCTCGGGGCCTGCTTGATCCCGTACAACGACTTCTCCAGTTGGCAGATTTGATTTGGGCCTGCGTTGGACCCGTGCGGGAGTTCGACGAAAGTCTCAGCGTCGACGGGGGCGTAGAGGAAGGCGTTGGCGACATCGATTTGTCGGAGCTTCTTCCGGTTCATGGCGGCGATTGCAAGAAGAATTCGCAGTGAGGTATGTCGGCTTACTGGGGCGAATGTTTCGGTGAAGTCTCACCCTTGCTCTTGATCGAAGCCTCGCACGACCCAGCGTGCTTTGAACTTGTCGATTGTTCCGTCGGCTTTCGTTTTCACGTGGAAAACCCACTTTCCCGTGAGGATAGTTTTGTTGCGTGCCACTTCGATAGGCACGACTTTCCAGGTGTTGCGTTCCTGCAGTGCCTTCAGCTCTTTATCCATGGCTTCACGCCATTTTTCCCTGTGTTCCCCCCCCAGAGCGTGCTGAATTGTCGCAGGCTCCTTAGGTGGTTCTACTCCGTGGACGGCGGTGACAAGTCCCAGTATCTGCAGGCCACTCTGTGTGTAGCGGGGGAGATTTGTGTCCTCTGGATAAGCTGCTTCGTCTCCTGCTTCGGGGTCTGGTAAGAAATTTGGTCCTATGCGTTCGGAGATGTTGGTGTCGACCGGTTGAGGTGTAACGTAACCGGTGTCGGCGAAGTCGAAATAAGTTTCGGCGTTGACGCTTTCGCGAGGATTTTCGTCATCCATAGGGATAGGCACGGAGCAGTATGGGAGGGGTCCTGCTTCTTCGGATGCGTTGTCCACGTTTTGCTCATCCCAGTGAGCTTCGTCTGCTGCTGAAGCAAAGGCTCGGTTGCCACGGAAGCCGCCCGTGAGGTCTCGATTTGCTGCCAGGTTGTCCAGGTACGTTTGAAGTGTGAGCCGCTCGTAGAAGATGACATCACATGCTGCCACTGTTTCCTTCGAGTGGACGTCAAAAATCTTCCATGCGTTGTAATGCTTTTCGATGCCCACGTGTAGTCCCCACTGTGCGCGTTGAGAAAATCTTCCAGCTCTTGCAGTGTGTGGGCGATACTGTACCATGCACCCGAAGACTCGTAACATTTTTGTGTTGCCCAACTTTCCTGTCCACAACAGGTGCGGTGATGCGTTGTTTGGAAGTGACGACGACGAAAGCAAGTTGTGCAGCATGACAGTGTGGTCCATCGCCTCAGGCCACTGGTGATTGGGCAGTCGCATGCCACGCAGCAATTTGCGCATGGTGTTCTGGAGAGTTCTGTTCATCCGTTCTGCCACGCCTTGCTGTTGATGGGCGTAGGGAAGCGAGATGAGTCGCTTGATGCCTCGTGTTGCGAGGTACCGCCTGAACCTCTGGGACTGATATTCCCCTCCTCCGTCAGATTGGAAGCTTTTCAGTTATGCTCCCGATTCTCGTTCTGCCACAGGTAGCCAGGCGACGAAGGCTTCGAAGGCCATTTTGCGACTTGGAAGATTAAGGTGCCAGACGTAACGGGTGGCGGCGTCGATGAAAGTGATTACGTAATTATATGCGCCTTGTCCTTGTTCGCGAGTATACAGAATGTCGCTGTATACTTTCTCGAGTGGTGCATAAGCTGGCGCGCTTGGATTGTGGTGAGAGATGAACGGTTGATGTGGTAAGTCGGCTTCGGGACAGGTAAAGCATGTTCCGCGGACTCGTTGGAGTTCTCTGCCGTCGGGTAGAAGTAGTGAGTCTTTGTCGAGAACTGCTGCCTTGATTGGGTTGTTTAACGTGGTGTTGCTCGGATGTCCTAGTCGTTCGTGCCACAGGGATTCACTTGCACGATGTCCAGGTGAGCGCCTATACAGGTCGGAGTTGGAGTAAAAACCCGCGGTGAAATTGGCGCTTCTGTGAACTTCACGTGGAGTGGGAGCTAGCTACTGCGCAGGAGTCGGTGGAGTGTCGTCGATGAATGTTGGTGCCGTCGAAGAGCTCGCGAGTGGTGTTGTAAGTGTTGTTGGTGTTGCCGATGTTGTCTCTGCTGCTGTCGATGTTGTTACTTCTTGTCGGATTGTTGCTAATGCCCGTGTTCTTTCTGCTTCAGGTATGGTATGTGAATACCAGAACCCTCCGGGGCTGAAGTCAGGATCGAGGTCAGGTGGGTGCGTCCAGGAGGCGAAGTTGACGATGCCGTCGCTGTCGGCCGTTCCTTGATCTGGTACAAAGTCGAGGACGAAGACGTTATTTTTCAAGACTGCTCTGTGTGAGAAACCTAGCGTGACTTAGGAGCCATAGCTAGGTTAGAGTGTCGAGAGAGTTTAGTGTCGAGAGGAATTGAGCAAGGAGGATGTCGAGAGGAATGGGGGATTCACTAGCAAGAGTTGGGATACAAATACAAGACCCTAAATTGGGTTGTACTCACTACAGAGTACCCCACTGCAGGCTAGACAGCAAATACATTCTGACACACCCCCATAGTCAAAGTGGGGTATAATCAGCAGAGCAAGCAGTCATAGAGCAGGTTCACAAGTACAAGCAAAGCTAGAGGCATACACAAAGGGCAAGTGAGGAGGAAGCTGGACTGTGCGAGGAGAGGAGATAGGAGGCGACTGCTGATGCTGCAGACACACGGGCAACAGGAGCGGCGCGCACTGTGGCTACCGGAGCAAGGGCCCCGGACTACAGGAGTAACTGGCTCTGCGGCTAACTCTGAGCGGCAGCAGCAACGGACCCACGGGCGACTGGCGCAGCAGGCTCGCTGGGCTACCGGAGATTGTAGCCTCCGGACTACTGGCGCTGCTGGCGACACGACGGCTACCTCCGCTCAACCTCCCCCAACTGTCCCACCCCCCTTTCACACACCCCTTGCTGCACCCCTAGCTCCACTCCCACGTCACCCCCCTAGCACCACTCCCTAGGCTCCCACACACCCACCCCCCTCAGCGGCAGCTGCAGCAGTGGGAGACGGAGGAGGAGGAGGAGCAGGGGACGGTTCACACACCCGCCACCCCCATACCCTCCCCCCACTGCTGCACCTGCAGCAGGGGATGGAGGAGAAAGGGGGGGGGGGGGCTGTGCATGGCGCGTGCAGAGGGCAGCAGGGCGCACGGGGCGCATAGGGCAGCAGGGCGCACAGGGCAGCAGGGCGCACAGGGCAGCAGGGCAGCAGGGCGCGCGGAGCGCGCAGGGCTGCAGTGCGCGCAGGGCGCGCAGGGCAGCAGGGCGCGCAGGGCGCGCAGGGCTGCAGGGCGCACGGGGCGCAGCAGGGCTGCAGGGCGCGCAGGGCAGCAGGGCAGCAGGGCGTGCGGGGCGCACAGGGCTGCAGGGCGCGAAGGGTGCACAGGGCAGCAGGGCAGCAGGGCGCACAGGGCTGCAGGGCAGAAGGGCGCGCGGGGCAAACAGGGCAGCAGGGCGCACAGGGCTGCAGGGCAGCAGGGCGCACAGGGCTACAGGGCAGCAGGGCGCGCGGGGCGCGCAGGGCTGCAGTGCGCGCAGGGCGCGCAGGGCAGCAGGACAGCAGGGCGCGCAGGGCGCGCAGGGCTGCAGGGCGCACGGGGCGCAGCAGGGCTGCAGGGCGCGCAGGGCAGCAGGGCGCACAGGGCAGCAGGGCAGCAGGGCGTGCGGGGCGCACAGGGCTGCAGGGCGCGAAGGGTGCACAGGGCAGCAGGGCAGCAGGGCGCACAGGGCTGCAGGGCAGAAGGGCGCGCGGGGCAAACAGGGCAGCAGGGCGCACAGGGCTGCAGGGCAGTAGGGCGCACAGGGCTGCAGGGCAGCAGGGCGCGCGGGGCGCGCAGGGCTGCAGTGCGCGCAGGGCGCGCAGGGCAGCAGGACAGCAGGGCGCGCAGGGCGCGCAGGGCTGCAGGGCGCACGGGGCGCAGCAGGGCTGCAGGGCGCGCAGGGCGCGCAGGGCAGCAGCAAGGGCTGTAGCGGCAACAGCAAGGGCTGTAGCGGCAGCAGCAGGGCAGCAGGGCGCACAGGGCTGCAGGGCAGCAGGGCAGCTGATGCTGCAAATCCCCTCCCCCCACTGCTGCTGCAGATCCCCTCCCCCCCACTGCAGCACCCGCAGCAGGGGTGGAGGAGAAAGGGGGGGGCGGGGGGGGCTGGTGCTGCAGATCCCCTCCTGCCTCCCTCTGAACCTCCAAGCTCCCCCCCCCTCCCAACACAGGGTGCGGCAGGGAGAGAGAGAGGAGAAAAGGGCGGGGGGGGGGGGCTGATGCTGCAACTCCCCTCCCCCCCACTGGTGCTGCAGATCCCCTCCCCCCACTGCTGCACCCGCAGCAGGGGGAGGTAGGAGAAGGGGGGGGGGGGGGGGGGGGGGAAGGGGCTGGTGCCGCAGATCCCCTCCCCCCCCACTGCTGCGGCGCGCAGGAGCCGCTCGGGCGACAGCAGGTTGGCCACACCCGCCACCCCCATACCCTCCCCCCCACTGCTGCACCCGCAGCAGAGAGATGGAGGAGAAAGGGGGGGGGGGGGCTGGTGCTGCAGATCCCCTCCCCCCGTCTGCTGCACCCGCAGCAGGGGGAGGTAGGAGAAGGGTGGGGGGGGGGGCTGGTGCTGCAGATCCCCTCCTGCCTCCCCCTGAACCTCCAAGCTCCCCCCCTTCTCCCAACACAAGGTGCGGCAGGGAGAGAGAGAGGAGGTGGCGTGGCGGCAGCTGCTGCTGCTGAGGCACATCCGCCACCCCCTTACACCCTCTCCCCGCCATCCCCATGGAGGGGGGGGAGGGGGGGGAGGGGGGCGGGGGCGGAGTTGCGCGTGCGACTGCAGGGCACGCGGGCAGGAGGAACCCCCTCTTGCCACCCCCTCACCCACCATGTTGCAACAGGGCACCGGGGCTGCGGTTAGGGGCGGCAGGTCGCGAGGGGCCATGGCTAGGGGCGACGGGGCCATGGCTAGGGACGGGGCCGGGCGCTGGGCAGGTACGGGGCCGGGTGCTGGGCTAGGGACGGGGCCGGGTGCTGGGCAGGTACGGGGCCGGGCGTTGGGCAGGTACGGGGCCGGGCGCTGGGCAGGTACGGGGCCTGGCGCTGGGCAGGTATGGGGCCGGGCGCTGGGCAGGTACGGGGCTGGGCACTGGGCAGGAACGGGGCCGGGCGCTGGGCAGGTACGGGGCCGTGCGTTGGGCAGGTACGGGGCTGGGCGCTGGGCAGGTACGGGGCCTGGCGCTGGGCAGGTACGGGGCCGGGCGCTGGGCAGGTACGGGGCTGGGCACTGGGCAGGAACGGGGCCGGGCGCTGGGCAGGTACGGGGCCGGGCGCTGGGCAAGAGACGGGGCCAGGCACGGGCAGGGTACGTGGCCGGGCGCGGGCGAGGTTCAGGGCCAGGCGCTGGCTAGGTACGGGCCGAGCGCGGGCTAGGTACGGGCCGGGCGCTGGCTAGGGTCGGGGCCGTGCGCTGGGCTAGGTACAGGCCGGGCGCGGGGCTAGGTACGGGCCGAGCGCGGGCGAGAGAAGGGGCCGGGCGCGGGCAGGGTACGGGCCGGTCGCGAGGCTAGGTACGGGCCGGGCGCGGGGCTAGGAACAGGGCCGAGCGCGGGCAAGGTACGGGCCGGTCGCGAGGCTAGGTACGGACCAAGCGCGGGCGAGGTACGGGCCGGGCGCGGGGCTAGGAACGGGGCCGAGCGCGGGCAGGGTACGGGCCGGTCGCGAGGCTAGGTACGGGCCAAGCGCGGGCGAGGTACGGGCCGGGCACGGGGCTAGGAACGGGGCCGAGCGCTGGCTAGGTACGGGCCGATCGCGGGCTAAGTACGGGCCGGGCGCGGGGTGACGGAGTCGACAGGGCCAGCGGGGCCGAGGGGCGTGGCTAGGGGCGACGGGGCCAACGGGGCCAAGTGTCACAGCTAGGGGCGACGAGGCCAAGGGGCCGAGCCTAGGGGCTAGGGGTGTCAAATATATATGACCTAGCCTATGTAGGCTGTAGTGGGGTAGACACTAAGGGGTACAGGTTTCACATTTGTATCACACATTTGTGGTCCTGCCGGTGCTGGAGTTTCTACTGCTGCTGGGGGTGCTGGAGCCACGGGTCCCGGAGGTGCTCGTACTGGAGGTACTGGAGCTGCTGGCCCTGGTGGTGCTACTGGTGCTGGAGCTGCTGGCAGAGCTGGAGCTGGCGGTGCTGCTGGAGTCGGTGCTACTGGAGGTACTGGAGCCGAAGCTGCTGCGTCTTCCGGTGGTCCTGCTGGAGCTGGAGCTGCGGGAGGTACTGGAGCTGGAGGTGCTGCTGGAGCCGGTGCTCCTGTGGGTGCTGGAGTTGGCGCTACTAGAGCTGCTGGAGGTGCTGCTGGTGCTGCTGGAGTTGGAGCTGACGCTGGGGGTGCTGGTGCTGTCCCTGCTGGTTCTGGAGGCGCTCCGCGGCCGCGGCCGTACTTCGTTCCGCTCCTTGAGCAGGTTCTTGGTCTTCCGCCTTCTTCTGGTCCTGCTCCTTCCTTAGAGTGTCCACTGCCTGTCCAGTCCAAGTCACCGTTACAGCTGGCCTCCCCACTGCCTGCTCCTTCTCCCTACGCTGGTCCTACTGGAGGTCTTGCTGAGCGTCGTGAGCCTGAGTCGCGTCCTGCGTCACCTGTTCGTGCTGCTAGCACTGGTCGTCGTATTCCACGTAAGCGTCCTCCTGCGGTCCCGGGCACGCACCAGATGGCACTGCGTCCTTCCACTGCTCCGCAGCGTGTCCCTTTGCCGTCTCCTCCAGAGTCCTCTCTTCCTGCTCTTGCTGACCCGGAGTCTGACTCCCTTCGTGCTGCCAGTCCTACTGTCACGCGTCTCATGGCCACTGTTGTCACTGACCCTTCCTTTGAGTCCACTGCTGCGTTTGCCTTAGTTGCTGAGCTTGTCGACTTCGCTGCTCACTGTCGTCTAGACTACGCTGCTAGTCTTGTTACTGGGTCTGAGTCTGCGTCTGTTTGTCCTCCGTCCGTCGGGGGTGAGTGTGCTCTTAGCACGGACGTCCTTGAAGACAGGCAGGAGGAGTTCCAGTGTTTTGCTGCTGCTTTACCTCATCTCGTGTCCATGATGCTTGCCTTCGGATGAGTCCGTAGAGCCGAGTGGCCCGTACCCAGAGCTTGTTGGCTGCCTCATGTACCTGATGACCTGCACTCGACCTGACCTGGCATACCCTCTTAGCATCTTGGCACGCTATGTTGCTCCTGGGAGACACCGACCAGAGCACATGGCTGCAGCGAAGAGGGTGTTGCGCTACTTGTGCAGTACGTTGGGCATGGGGCTCGTGCTTGGAGGGCTACGCAGCGGTCGTCACAGGGTTACACCTTCAGCCTTGGTTCCGTCTCTGTTTCGTGGCGGTCTACCCGCTCGTCTTCTGTTCTCAGCTCCAGCTGTGAAGCTGAGATCTATGCAGGGGCCATGGCTGCACAGGAGTTACGCTGGCTCACCTACCTGCTAACTGACCTGGGAGAGCCGCCTCGTTCTCCTCCAATTCTGTACGTAGACAACAAGGCCATGCTGGCCTTGTGTCGGGAGCACAGACTGGAGCACAGAACGAAGCACATTGGTCTTCGCTACTTCCTTGCTCGTGAGCTGCAGCAGCGTGGTCAGCTGCGCCTTGCTTACGTGGCCTCTCGGGCCAACACTGCTGATATCTTCACCAAGGCACTTCAGCCTTGTGATCATCAGCGTTTCTGTACTATGCTAGGTCTTGTGCCTACTTGGCCTCACTTGCTTACCTCTTGACTTTACTTGTACTGTGATCTATATATACCTGCACCTGCTTGTTTACCTCTTATATATAATCCTGCATGTGAACTGGCCTTGTGGCCTCTGAACCTGTGCTCGGAATGTGTGGTGACGTTGTGATCCACCCTGAGCTTGCTTTGCTTTGCTTTGCTTTGCTTGACTGGTCTTGTGACCCCTAGTTCTCCCCCACTTTGCCTATGGGGGTGTGTCAGATATATATGACCTAGCCTATGTAGGCTGTAGTGGGGTAGACACTAAGGGGTACAGGTTTCACATTTGTATCACACACTTTCCTAGTTCATTCATTCCTGTTTCTTCACAAGGGGCTACGCCAAGGGGCGACGGGCCGGGGCCTAGGCTAGCAGGGCATTAGGTGGTGGGCCCATTGATGTTAGGTCCTAGAACTTATTGCTCTTAATACCATGTGAGAAACCTAGCGTGACTTAGGAGCCATAGCTAGGTTTGTCAGAATGTTATATTTGTCTAGCCTGCAGTGGGGTACTCAATAGTGAGTACAGCCCAATTTAGGGTTTGCTATATGTACTCAACTGCTTGCTAGTCAAACCCCTCTTTCTCGTTTCTAACTTTCAACTGTATTTCAACATGGAATCAGAGCAGGTCGACCCTCACGGGTCGATCCTGTGGATGGGCCCACCTAAGCTTCCGCTGTCATCACTTCCTATCGCGCGCCTCGGGCGCGCGCTGCCCTTCTTTCCGCCGCGCGCTCAGGGCGCGCGGCGGTTTTCTGCTCGTCGCGCCGCCCTCGGGGCAGCGCGACGCCCTGCTCTGCCCGTCGTGCGCCCTGTGGCGCGCGACGGTTCTCTGCCCGTCGCGCGCCCCAGGGCGCACGGCGGTTTCGTCGCCCGGGGGGGCTCGTACGCGGCCCGTCCTGTCGCCCGTCTAGGCCCCCATTCCCGTCGCCCGTCGCGGCGCCCTGGGGGGGCCGCGCGCGGCCCCCCTCCCCCGGGTCGCCTCGATAGGCGACGGGAGGGGCGACAGAAGGGGGCCGCGCGTCGGCCCCTCCCGTCTTCGTCGCGGCCCTGCTCGGCCCTACCCGGCCCTGCCGTCCTGCCCCGGCCCTGTCCTGGCCCTGCCCTGCCCGGCCCTGCCCTGTGTTAGGGTTTGGGGGTGGCGGGTGTGTGGCATCCCCTGCTCCTCCTCCTACTCCGTCTCCCACTGCTGCAGCTGCCGCTGGGGGGGGTGGGTGTGTGGGAGCCGACGAAGTGGTGCTAGGGGGTGGAGTGTGAGTGAACCTAGGGGTGCAGCAGGGGGTGTGTGAAAGGGGGGTGAGACAGTTAGAGGGAGGTTGGGCGGAGGCAGCTGTCGTGTCGCCAGCAGCGCCAGTAGTCCGGAGGCTACAATCTCCGGTAGCCCAGCGAGCCTGCTGCGCCAGTCGCCCGTGGGTCCGTTGCTCCTGCAGCTCAGAGTTAGTCGCGGAGCCAGTTACTCCAGTAGTCCGGAGGCTACAATCTCCGGTAGCCACAGTGCGCGCCGCTCCTGTTGCCCGTGTGTCTGCAGCTTCACCTGTCGTCTCCTATCTCTTCTCCTCTCACAGTCCCTCCTCCTCCTCACTTACCATCTGTGACTGCCTCTAGCTTTGCTTATATTTGTGAACTATAAACTGCTACTTCTTGTACTTGTGCTCAGACTGTGTGGTGACTTTGTGATCCACCCTGAGCTTGTTTTGCTTTGCTTACTTGTGCTGATTACACCCCACTTTGGCTATGGGGGTGTGTCAGAATGTTATATTTGTCTAGCCTGCAGTGGGGTACTCAATAGTAAGTACAGCCCAATTTAGGGTTTGCTATATGTACTCAACTGCTTGCTAGTCAAACCCCTCTTCCTCGTTTCTAACTTTCAACTGTATTTCAACAAGGTTAGAGTGTCGAGAGAGTTTAGTGTCGAGAGGAATTGAGCAAGGAGGATGTCGAGAGGAATGGGGGATTCACTAGCAAGAGTTGGGATACAAATACAAGACCCTAAATTGGGTCGTACTCACTACAGAGTTCCCCACTGCAGGCTAGACAGCAAATACATCCTGACACTCTGCCGATGTAGAGCCCTCCTCGACCGTTAAAAAGCTTGAACTCCTGTGTGGTACTGTCTGCTTCAAGATGGATCCCCTTAGCCATTAGTTGGCTGACGCTCAGTACCGTAATCGGACATACCACCCGCCGAAATTGTAGACCCCCCAGGTGGCTTGTGCGGGGTGGGTGTTATAGTTGACCCCGTTTGTACTATACCCCCCCTTTTGGGGTGATTTTTTATCACACCCCCTTTTTTACATAGAATGCCTTATTTTAGGTGTTAACGAGTATGTGCAATGACGGGGGGACATCGCGACGATCACTTTTTGCACGAAATTACATGGTAATTTCGAAAGTATCTGCTGGGGTCACCTCCGTCCCACTTTTTCACTGTTGCCACGCTGGTAGTTCTTTCGCTATCAAGTGGCCAAAGAGGTGCCACCTCGCAACTTCAAGGAGGAGTCAATGTTGTCGTCGAAACTGACAATCTCGCTTCCAACTGTGATGCTAAACCAACCTTGAAAACACCCAAGCTGCCTATTTATAGAAACCCTTACACTAAAAAAATGTCATATATATGCACCCGGGTGGTATGTAGCTTTTTCCTATAAGAAGCCCCCCCCCATTTTTTTGCTGTATTTAAAGTAAGACCCTAGGGTGTTATGTCCGGGTGATTACGGTAAGTTGTAGCCAAGTCCTTCTGCAATCAACACTTTATACATTTGCAAGATGACGTTAGTCTCTCGGGATTGAAGTTGTACTACGTCTTGTCGTCGTGTGTGCAGGTTCTGGTTGTTGGCCACAGTGATGACGACTTCGCGCTGAAGTTGATGCTCTTGCTGAACGAAACGGCTTGAGGAACACATGTGTTGTCCGCAGCAACTGTCCAAGAACCAAGTGTCTTGCCCGGACGGCTCGCTTTGGGCGATAGCTGCATATGTCGGATTGGGCTCCAGTGACTCGCAGCGGGGAGTTCGTTCATCGAGTTGGTCTTCTGGTGAGTAGTGGGGTGGTGATCTAGTGATGCAGGAGTCCGTCGTTCTTGCCATGCAACTGACGATGTTTCTTGTTCCTTGTGCAGATTGCGATGTTGAAGATATTGAAGTTTGCACTTGATTGGTGGGATGCGCTTCTGTAGAAGCTACTTGACTGCTTGACGGCCGAAGTTGACGTTGCGGTGTTGTCGATTGCTGCTGATTCGGGCAGTGTGTGCGCGGATGACCGGATTTCTTGCAAAGGTGACAAAACGGTGGGACGTACTGTTGTACTTGTCGATTGTTGTTGTTGTTGTAGTGTCGTTGAGTGTGGAAGGCAAACTCCGGTGCTAATGCTTTGTTCTTGTGTCGTTCTTCGTGCAGGTCCATGTCTTGCTGTTCAGCGTGAATTTCGGCGCAGAGTGCTGCTTCGGAGATTTTCCCGTGAGCTCGAAGAAGTGCTCGAGTGGAGCGCCAATGAGGACCAAGGCCGTCGATGATGACTGTTACGAATGCTTCTTCCGAAATTGATTCTCCGCATCGAAGGAGTCTGTCGCGCAGTCCGCGACATCGGCTAATATAAGCCATTCCCTTTTCGCCGGGTTTCATTTCTACTGTTGTCAACTGTGCCATGAGACGACTCTGGTTAACGCTGTCTGTTGCTTGATACAGGTTCTTTAGATGGTCGTATGCCAGCTCGGCGGAGTTGCCGTATCCTCGATAAGAACGAATGTTTTGTTGCTCGTTTGGCGTCAAGTTTCGAAGAATTATCGTATACGCCATCAGCGACTGATACGTATATTGTTGCTTGTCGTACTGTGTCCCATGTACTGGATATGGCAGGGACCCGTCGAAGAATCCGAGGATTTGCGCGCCTTCCATCATCAGCTCAAACTCGAAAGACCAGGTCTAAAAATCCTTCCCGTCGAAAAGCGTCGATGTTTGTAATTTGAGAACGTGTGCAAATTACGATTGCACCTGAAGTGCGTCCAGTGTCTTCTCTTGTCCATGTGAAGACTGCGGCTGCGGCGCGAAACTGACAGAGCCGCGTTGAGGCTCATACGGAGCAAAGGTAGGTTGTTGTTGATTTCCGCGCGCGTATGATGAACCATCAAGACTCTTTGGTGTTGCTCTGTTGTTGTTGTCGCTGTTGTTTGATTGCGCAGGAGCTGCTTGCTGGTGTTGCTCGTAGAAGGACATGAAGGAGAAAAATTTCTCCATCATACTTGGGTCGAAGCTTGTTGCTTGGTTTCCGGGAGTTTCCGTTGATTCCGCAGCTGGTCTTGTAGCTGTGCCTTCTTCTGTCTGCAGGCCAGAAGCTGGAGGTGGAGTAGGAGTAGTACCGAGTGATCCGTTGGAGGAGCTCCTCTCCTTTCGTGTAGCCATGACTTGTATTGTAAAAGGTTAAAAGGTGATCTTGTCCTGCCTTGCTCTCATACCATGTTGGGCTGAGAAAACCCCTTAGGAACTTTCAGGACTAAGATCAGGTGTTGACGTAGAGTTGTAACAGCGGAAGCGTTTAATAAAGAGTTGTCTTGAACCACCTTGTACTAGTGTGTGAGAACAAGATAAGTTAAATAATAGCAAAGAGATACTGTAATCACCCGGACATAACACCCTAGGGTCTTACTTTAAATACAGCAAAAAAATGGGGGGGGGCTTCTCATAGGAAAAAGCTACATACCACCCGGGTGCATATATATTTACCTTTTTTTAGTGTAAGGGTTTCTATAAATAGGCAGCTTGGGTGTTTTCAAGGTTGGTTTAGCATCACAGTTGGAAGCGAGATTGTCAGTTTCGACGACAACATTGACTCCTCCTTGAAGTTGCGAGGTGGCACCTCTTTGGCCACTTGATAGCGAAAGAACTACCAGCGTGGCAACAGTGAAAAAGTGGGACGGAGGTGACCCCAGCAGATACTTTCGAAATTACCATGTAATTTCGTGCAAAAAGTGATCGTCGCGATGTCCCCCCGTCATTGCACATACTCGTTAACACCTAAATAAGGCATTCTGTCAGGGCTGATTTTATCAGGGTAATTACCCTGATTTCAGGGTGATTTCAGGCTTTCCACTTCGTCGAGACTGAAATTTCAGAGTTATTGAATTTCTAGCCCTGATCCAATCAGAGTAATAGTTTAGCTATCCCTGATTTTGAGTACAGTGTAACAGACTAGGCTGTTAGTGGACCCTGACTTAACAGAGTATCGACTGTGTGGACCCTGACTTATCGAGAAGAAGTTTCTCGGAAGTTTCCTTCCGATGACCCCGCCTTGGATTGATCGCAGTGATCCCCCCACATGTGCGTAATCCCCCCCCTTCCCGCTTTATCGAGACGAAGTTTCTTCGAAACTTTGTTCTGGTCGAAACTTCGAGACTTTATGGAGAGTGGGGATATTTTCCCCGACTTATCGAAAAGAAGTTTCTCGGAAGTTTCCTTCCGATGACCCCGCCTTGGATTGATCGCAGTGATCCCCCGACATGTGCGTAATCCCCCCCCTTCCCGCTTTATCGAGACGAAGTTTCTTCGAAACTTCGTTCTGATCGAAACTTCGAGACTTTATGGAGAGGGGATATTTTCCCCGGTAACAAAGCGCGCGTTACTACTCTGATGTTCAGTTCTCGACCCTGAACAATCAGTGTTAACTACTTTACAACCCTGAGCAATCAGGGTACTGCTTTTCTGGAAAATGTGCACCCATAATAGAGGGGGAAAATTTTCCCCGGAATCAGGGAAGCTTAAAATGAAACGTCAGCCCTGCATTCTGTGTAAAAAAAGGGGGTGTTATAAAAAATCACCCCAAAAGGGGGGGTATAGTACAAACGGGGTCAACTATAACACCCACCCCGCACAAGCCACCCGGGGGGTCTACAATTTCGGCGGGTGGTATGTCCGGGTGATTACGGTACAAGCTTTTTATATGATTACAGAGGAATATGAAAGTTCTATTTTAACTGTTTTTGCTGTTGCGGTTCGATACAGTGCCGACTCGGGTAACTGCTCCATAACGAGTCAGTTATGTGTCCTTACTGTCGCACTGTACGTTTCGTCAGGTCAAAGGTCTCCGACCTTTGACCTTCGCGCAACCTCCGACGGTTGCCTTGGTTGACTCAAGTGTTTCTTCGCTGTAGTCAGTTCCGTTTTGTGTCGAAGCTTTGATACGACAGAAGCGTTATAAATCACTTGTTTCCAACACTTGCCATGCTTGTACATATTGTGAACACCAGCATTAATGTGTACTGATCTTTCTCACATGTCAACTGTTGCCACATGTGCTGTGGACCAAGAACACACATCTGTATGATGTGCTGTGCTGTTTCCATCACATCAAACCAACGTTTCTGCAACTAACCTACACTCTGCTGCTCCTGCACGCGAATTAGCATGTAAGCAGTTCCTCACATCACATGACTACAAAACCGAGACAAAAACGCGCTGCCGTGCACCACGCTACTCAGTGTGTGCCAGCAGCGACAGCACCTTGGCTGCATGAGCGTCTCTCGACCCAAACAGCGGCTGCATGTCAGCAGGCAACCACGCCTCATCCACCCTCCACGCCCCTGCCCCACTGCCTCCTCTTCCCCCCCTCCCTCCTCCCATCCCTCCACCCCCCTTCTCCACCATCTCCTCCCCAAACGTCTCTGCAATGCGGTACAGAGCGGTGCGCACCACATCTGCCATGGCCCATGCCTCGCCCCACACCGGCCCCACCACCCCCTCTCCGTACACCGCTCTCCCCCCCGCCCCACCCCCTGCTCCCACGCCTGGTACGGCCGAGCCACCTGCTTCAGCACCTCCATACCTAAGACCGAGGGTTGGTGTGCCAAACAATCCCCCACTTCCCGAAGCTAGAGCCGAAGTCTGGTGGAAGTGGGCAGGTTGAGAGGCACCCAGAGGAGTCGCTTGCGAGGAAGCTTCCCCGAAGCCAGAGAAGGTGGCGGGGGTGGCGGGGTGGCGGTGGGAAGGGGAGAGGAGGAGGTGATCGAGGGCGAGCAGCGCGGACAGCAGTGAGGAGAGCGCAGCAGCGTTGGCGCCCGCCATCTGCGCCACGCCCATGCGGTCCTCCCCCCGCGACGCTGCTGTCAGCGCTGCCAGCGCCCGCATGCTCATGGCGCACAGCTGGTGTGCGGGGGAGAGATGGAGGGGTGTGGAGGAAGTGGAATTAGGATTGAAGAGTTGCGGGTGGATGAAGGCATCGCATTTGGGTCACCACCCCACCTGCCACCACCCCACCTGCCACCACCCCACCTACCACCACCCCACCTGCCACCACCCCACCTGCCACCAGCCCACCTGCCACCACCCCACCTGCCACCAGCCCACCTGCCACCACCCCACCTGCCACCAGCCCACCTGCCCCACCTGCCGCCCTCTCACCTGCCGCCCTCCCACCTGCCGCCCTCCCACCTGCCGCCCTCCCACCTGCCGCCCTCCCACCTGCCGCCCTCCCACCTGCCGCCCTCCCACCTGCCGCCCTCCCACCTGCCGCCCTCTCACCTGCCGCCCTCCCACCTGCCGCCCTCTCACCTGCCGCCCTCCCACCTGCCGCCCTCTCACCTGCCGCCCTCTCACCTGCCGCCCTCTCACCTGCCGCCCTCTCACCTGCCGCCCTCTCACCTGCCGCCCTCTCACCTGCCGCCCTCTCACCTGCCGCCCTCTCACCTGCCGCCCTCTCACCTGCTGCCCTCTCACCTGCCAGTCGAAGAACACCTCAGCTGCGCTGGGCGCTCTCCTCCTCCCCTCAACCCCCCTCACGCCCATTCCACTCCCCCCTGCCCCCTCTGCCCCGCCACGATCTGAGCCCGCTCCTCCATTCCAGCCCTGACCCCCGAACCCCCCATATGCGCCGTTTCCCCCAACCCCTCCCGCTTGCAGCGCCTGCCCCTCCATCCCCTCCCCTCCGCTCTTCCCCTGCCGCCATCTCATCCCTTCAGCAGAGACAAACCCGGCTGCAGTGACTGCAGCCGTGGGTGACTGCAATGAGTACTGCTGCTGCTGCTGCTGCTGCTGCTGCTGCAGCACACCTGTAACGGTGGGGTAACCAGCGGCAGCAGCCACCCTGAGCGTCATGCCATCGACGGGGCGGATGCACGCCGCCACCACCGCGCTGTACGCCTCCTGCGACTCATACAGCGCCGCGCGGCGCCACGTGTCAGCCTCTGATTCGGCGAGCAGCGAGAGGTCGAGCAGCGCCCAGTGGAGCACGAGGCGGGGCAGGGCGGGGGGCGCGGGCAGTGCGAGGAGGGGCAGGGGGGATGGGGACGGAGGAGGGGCGGGGGCCGGGGAGGGGGAGAGGGCGAGGAGGAGGGGGGCGAGGGGAGAGGAGGGGGAGGAGGGCGGGGAGAGGAAGAGGTGGCGGTGGGTGAGGAAGATGTTCGTGGCGGCTGCAGCGGCCTCCCAGGCGAAGGCGAGGAACGCCACGGCGTGCAGGCGGGCGAGCAGAGAGAGCAGCAGCGCGCGGATGGACAGAGGCAGGGCGGTGAGGAAGGGGAGCGGGATGCCGGTGGCGGTGGTGGTGGCGGTGGCGAGGAGGGGCAGCAGCAGCGGGCGGAGCAGGAGGGAGTAGAGGAGGGCGGTGATGCACCCGAATGTGGCTGCTGATGTGGCGCAGCGCGGGAGGGTCGTCTTGAATCGGTAGAACGGGGCGCGCTGTAAGGGGTATGGGGGATGGCATAGAGAGGGCGGCAATAGGGTTGTGGGTTTAGAGAGGGATAGAGAGGTGAGTCATGGAGTGCAGCGCTGCCGCGCCAACTCCCAACTCTCAGCTTCCCTCGCCTTGCAGCCGTGCACCACGGCGGCAAGGGAATGAAGGCGCATTTGTGGAAGAGACCTACGCGTGGGCGGGGTGAAGCACAGCTGCGCGGCGCACCTGCAGCACGGGGAACGCGAGGAGGTAGTCGCGCCGCACCACGTGGTACGCCGCGAACAGCACCCCCACCGCGCCGCCGAATCCCGCCTCGCCCGCCACGGCCCAACCGTCTGGCCGCCACGCGCCGTTGGATTCGATCTCCACCGCGCCGCCCAGAAGCTGTGCGCGGAAGAGCGAGAGCGCGATCGCCCCTGCGGCGCCCGCCGCGGCGCAGAGTGAAGCGAACTTGGCGCGGCCCGCCAGCGTCGCCCTAGCCGCTTCCGCCTCCCATTGGCTGGCGGGCCCGCGAAACCCGCCGTGCACTGCGCGAATCTGTTGGTCTTGGTGCACGAACGGGCGTGGATCCGATGTGCCGGAAAATCCGGCGAGATTCGCGGCGGAAGCGAGGAGGGAGGCAGTGGAGGGGAGGGGAGGGGCATCTGCGACGACGATGGCGTGGCGAGCTAGAACGAAAAGAAGTTGCGAAAGATCGAAAATCGCGAAAGCGAGGTAGAGGCGCAGCGAGAAGAAGGAGAGGAACGTGGGGAGGAGGCCCGCGCGGAGGACGAGCGGCGCGGCCCAGAGGAAGAGGAAGGGGCCGATGGAGAGCAGGTGGAAGAGAAACGCGCGCGCCCAGCGGCGATGCACGACGTCGCGATACATCGCCTCGGGGGGCGTGCTGGCGACGGCGGGAATGTGCTCCATGACGAGATGCGATGCGATTACGACGAACAGAGGGATTACGCTGGACTGCCTTGGAACGGGAGGAGGGAAGCCATGGTTGAATGCAGGAATCGCTGGGCAGTCAGCCGCGACTGCTGCCTTGCCAGAGGTGCTTCATATGCAACGAGGGTGTGTCAGATCCGCTAAAAGCTGATTTCGCTGGTTTATAGTCTACCATATGGTCTAATACAGCTTTCGCGAAATCAGACTCCGTGGTCTATTTTGTAGTCGACCATCCTTTTGGCCGCGATACAAAATCTGACACATTTGGTGGCCGATTTGCAGGAAGCTGTATCGAATGTGTCAGTTTTGCAGGGCGTTTGGTGGCCGGATTGTGCGACGGAGTTGCACATCTCAACAATACAACATCAGTGACACTGAAAATATCTGGGTAAAATACCCTTTTTACCCTGATGGGCGGCCGCTTTTTCCCAATTACCCTTGCAAAAACAAGATATCAATTTTTTTACCATACAGTAGAAAGGCTGAGTTTTGGTTTACACTGCTACCGTCAGCCTCCGGATAGAAGCGCCCCAAGGAGTATAAAAAACACTGTTTTTTAGGGGGTGTGCTTATAATCGAGGAATTTTACAAGCAACGGCGTTTACAAAATGGCAAAAGGAATTTCTATCCGTTTTACACCAAACTGTTGATCTCGTTCTGCCGATTGTAATCGAGTCTAAAACATATAGGGTCACGAATCTGATTCTCGCGCAGCTTGGGAGGGAGTTATTCCCTGCCAACTCAAACTGACAGAATGACAGCACATGCTGACTAGACACGCAAAAAGTGAGATCAGAGTGTGGGAAATCGAATTTGTAGTTCGTTTTGTCAGAAGTAGTAGGAGTACGGCCTAGGCTTAGTAGCCTAGGCCACAGTAGGACTAGTAACGAGGAGCCAAGTACGAGCTAGGAATGTGTGTAGGAACAGAATTGAGAAGGAATGATTGAACTAGCAAGCAGCAAGATACAAATAGCAAACCCTAAGGGGCTGTACTCACTATTGAGTACCCCACTGGAGGCTACACAAACAACATATTCTGACACGTTTCCCTGATAATGTGAAATTTGTTTCTGTATTTCGTCAGGTTTTCAAATGAAAAACCAACATGCGCTTATAATGAGTCATCTTTTTTTATGGGGTGGGCTTATAATCGAGGACCGGATATAAGCGCCGTCATCCTTTTATAAGCGCCGGCGATTATCCGAGGCCTGCGCTTCTAACCGGGGGCTTACGGTAACGATTTTGGTTACACTGCCAGTATCAGAGTGCGTAGTACATGTCAAATTAACAAACAAGAATGAATGCATTGAACAGAAGTTGGGTACAAGTACTAACCCTAATTGGGTTGTACCCCTTATGGGCTACCCCACTATAGCCTACACAAATGTAAGCACTATAACATTCTGACACACCCCCATAGGCAGAGTGGGGGAGAATAAGAGGTCACAAGACCAGTCAAGAAAAGCAAAGCAAGCTCAGGGTGGATCACAAAGTCACCACACAGTCCGAGCACAAGCAAAGGGCCACAAGGCCAGTTCACATGCATAGTTATATAAAAGAGAACAAACAATACAGTGATCATACCCTAGCAAGTGTAAGCATGCAGGTATATATATAGATCACAGTACAAGCAAAGTCAAGCAGTGAGCAAGTGAGGCAAAGTAGGCACACGGCCTAACACAGTAGAGAAGCGCTGATGATAACCAGGCGGAAGTGCCTTGGTGAAAATATCAGCAGTGTTGGCCCTAGTGGCCATGTACGCAAGACAAAGCTGGCCACGCTGTTGCAACTCTCGAGCAAGGAAGTATCGCAAACCGATGTGCTTCGTTTGGTGCTCCAGTCTGTGCTCCCGACACAAGGCAATCATGGCCTTGTTGTCTACGTACAGAACTAGAGGCGAACGAGGCTGCTCTCCCAAGTCAGTCAACAGGTAGGTGAGCCAACGAAGCTCCTTTGCAGCCATGGCCCCTGCGTAGATCTCAGCCTCACAACTGGAGCTGAGAACCAAAGACGAGTGCGTAGACTGCCAGGAAACATAGCCGGAACCGAGGCTGAAGGTGTAACCCTGTGACGACCGCTGCGTAGCTGAGTCGTCAACCCAAGAAGCGTTTGCGTGACCAGTGAGGACAACTGGACCCCGTCCTCCAAGCACGAGCCCCATGCCTGACGTACTGCACAAGTAACGCAGTACCCTCTTCGCAGCATCCCAGTGCATCTTTCGGTGCCGACCGGGAGCCACGTAGCGAGCCAGAAGGCTGAGAGGGTGCGCAAGGTCAGGTCATGTGCACGTCATCAAGTACATGAGGCAACCCACAAGCTCTGGGTGCGGACCACTCGGCTCTACGGACTCGTCCGAAGGTGGAGCTGAGAGCGAGTGGCTGGTAGACAGAGGAGTGGGCTGTGGCGAGGAGAACTGGAAGCCGAAGCGCTAAAGGAACTGGTGCACCATATGTGACTGAGTCAGGGTAATGGTGCGCCGAGCTCTGTCCCGGGTGATCTGCAAGCCAAGATAGCTGCGCATTTCACCCAGGTCAGTGCAGGTGTGTCTCTTCTGCAGCTCGGACTTCACAAGGGTCAGTGCCTCAGTGTCAGCAATGGCAAAGACAAGGTCGTCGACGTACACTAGGACGTAGAACGGCGACAGTGAGGTGTCGGTGCATAGAAACAGCGACGGGTCTACTGTAGAAGGAGCAAACCCAAGAGCCGCAAGTGTAGTCCTGAGTGTGTCATGCCACTCGCGAGGCGCCTGGCGGAGACCGTAGACTGGCCGCCGGAGGCTTCACTGGGTATCTGCAGGAAACGACCCAGTGAAGCCAGGTGGGCGGCGCAGCCAGATCTCCTCGTGCAGGCTGCCCTGCAAGAAAGCTGTACTGAAGTCTAGAGAGTGCAACTCGTAGTCACGCTGAGCAGCGGCGTGCAGTAACACCCGAAGAGTGGTCATCTTTGGGGTGGGGGAGAAGGTCTGGAAGTAGTCAACCCCCTGTCGTTGACTGAAGCCTCGAGCAACGTAACGCGCCTTGAAGGCAGGCGGAGAACCCGGCGGCCGCTTCACCCTGAAAATCCACATGCCATCGACTATGTTCGCCCGAGACGGGGGAAATGCGTCGACGTAGGTGCCTGTGGACTTCCAGGATGCCATCTCGGCATCCATGGCTGCCTGCAACTAAGAGGAGTAAGGACCCGTAATCGCCTCTACAAATTAGCGCGGGGTCGAGATGTCTGGTGCATCCGGGTCTCCCTCAGGGGCAAGCAGCATGGAAGCGAAACGAGGTACAGCAGCCGCAAGACACTCAAAGTCCTCCTCCCTGTCCTCAACGGTGTCCGTGCCAAGAGCACACTCACCCCCGACAAACGGAGGACTGGCAAAATCAGACTCAGCAACAAGAGCAGTGGCGTAGTCTAGACGACAGGCAGCAGCTAAGTCAACCAGCTTAGCAACGAGGTGGGTGCCAGGGACATGAGGAGGACGCGAACGAGGAATGCGAGGAGCAGTGCGAACTGACGAGGCAGGACGAGACGCTGGCTCACGACGCTCTGTAAGACCGCCGGACTGCTCAGTGTAAGGAGAAGGAGCAGGCAGTGGGGAGGCTGGCTTTAACGGCGGCTGCGACTGGTCAGGCGGTGGACACAGTAGAGGAGTAAGGCTAGTAGAAGACGGGACACCAAGAACCTGCTGAAGGAGGGGAACGAAGTACGGTCGCGGCCGCACAATGCCTCCAGCACCTTTACCACCAGCACTTCCAGCTCCAGGGTCAACAGCTCCAGCTCCTCCAGCTCCATCGCCTCCCGCGCTAGTGCCTCCAGCTCTAGCTCCTCCAGCTCCAGCGCCACCAGCGCCAGTGCCTCCAGCTCCAGCTCCTCCAGCTCCCGCGCCTCCAGCTCCAGCTCCTATAGCTCCAGTGCCACCAGCCCCAGCAGCTCCAGGCCGCGTAAGGACTCCAGCTCCAGCGCACCCAGCACCACCAGTCCCAGCTGCTCCAGAACCCCTGGTACGAGCACCTCTAGGACCAGCAGCCGCACTTCCTCCGGTACCACCAGCTCCAACGTCTCCAGCGCCAGAGTCTCCAGCTCCGGTAGCTCCACTTCGAAGGCGGGTGCACTGAGCAAACCATTCGCGCAGCTGCTGCGGGGAGAGAGGCTCTGGCCGGGGAGACAGTCGTGGCGAAGCATCCGCAGGACCTCCAGTAGAAGCAGTGCCCCTCGGCTCAGCACCTCCAGGCTCAGCACCCTCAGACTCCGCACCTCCACGCTGCACACCCGCATGCTCAGCACCCCCAGACCCGGCACCCTCAGACGCAGCACCCCTAGGCTCCGCACCCCCCGATGCAGCACCCCCAGACGCAGCATCCCCAGACGCAGCACCCCCAGACGCATCACTTGGAGCAGCACCTGAGACGACAGCTACCTCAACAGGCGCAATACCAGGGAGAGGGTCTACCTGAGACACACCTGAGGGAGCAGGACCCTGGGGCGGGAGGGGGTCTACTGGAGGGGGACCGGGAGCAAGGAAGAGTGGCAGGGGCGGGGGAGGGGCAGAGCGGTAGGGGAAGAGACAGTAAAAGGGAACCGACTCGTCAAACGTGACGTCCTGAGAGGGGAAGACACGGCGCGAGGTGGGGTGGTAAAACTGCCAGCCAGGCGCGTTAGGGGAAAAGCCAAGGAAGACGCAAGGAATAGCGCGGGCGGAGAGCTTGTCCGCGGACGTATCGCGAAGAAAGGTACGAGAACCCCATGCCCGGAACACTGACGCATCGCCAACCTTCACCGTCCAACGCAGTGTAGGCGAGGTCTCCGGCAAGGAGACACGGGGCCAGAGGATGAGCTGATGCGTAGCGTACCGGACCGCAAACGGCCACAGAAAATGGGGAGCAGCCGCATGGATCATGGAGGTAAGAGCCACCTCCATGACGAGGCCAATGCGGCGCTCACCAATCCCA